GAGTTAAGTGAGTTATTGGCCCGGGGCCATATTGGAATTAACGGCGAATGCGCCTTTGTTGTTGCGGATCTTTCTCTCTAAACTTCCTTCTTTTGGGTTGTGTCATTTCCTATCTAGACTCTCTCCCCCCTCTCCTTCCCCTTCTCCTCTATCTTTGAATAATGATGTGTCTTGATGCTTCTCTCCCTCTCTCTTTTTCCCTCTCTTGGATGAACATGAATCTGTATGCTTTCCTTGCGTGAAAGAACTTCTTCCGGAACTCTTCCATTAGTTTCCTAGGTAATCCTCCTGCGCAAGGACCCCGTCTTCTTGTCTTGTGAACGGTGGATGCATGTGTACTGTGCAAGCGATCAATCTTTTCCTGTGCATGGCTCATTTTTCGCATCTTCCATAGTGAATGAATGTATGGAAATGGGCGTCTCTTTGGCGTTGATTGGACGATTGTCGTCGGGATTTTATCCGAGAATGCAACAGTGTTTAGATCTGTGGCTCTGAGTGCACTACGCATGCCATCTGCCTTATGTTGTCCGACATCAGCAGCCGAACCACGAGGCGATCTCGAAAAACAAGGCGTCGGGGATCAACATCGCGCTCGCTAACTAAACCTGAGCCGCGGATCGGTCCCTTAGTTATATGCGTGATTAAACTGCTGAAGTGTCTTCTTCCGCTCTCTCTCTCTCTCTCTCTCTCTCTCTCTCTCTCTCTCTCTCGTGTTGAAGAAGATTGTTTATGAGTTGCGCGAGTGTTTTCTTTTCTTTTTGATGACGTCGCAAGGTCTCTACAATTGATGGATATGTGGACTGACCAGTACCCTCCGATCGGGCACCAGCCTCCCGTACCTCCCGTCCCAACACGTTCTTTTCCCTATAACGAGGGAAGGACACGTGTATGTGAGTGGGACGTACGAGAAGCCGTTGCACAAATCGGCGGACGATACTACTTCCCTCCGACAAGTCGTTGTTTAGGGTTCGTAGAGGCTGGGTTTGTCATTATCGATACGCACTTCCCACCTTACTCGATATTGTTACCATTCAACGAGTTGATCATCATCCCGTGGACGGCAGTAGAACCCCACTGGCCGCGCACTCTATGCACCGAATGCCAGCGTTTAGAGCGCTACGAATCCAGGGGTTTCCACTACCGTGTGCGGAGTGAAGACGAGCATAAACAAAGAGCCATGCGGCTGAGACCATCCACGTCGGACTCGGAACTGACCATCGAACGACGACAAGATTTGATACGAAAACGAGACAAGCGGAGCATTCCAAAGCCTTTCCGTTCTAAACGACGGGTTGTAGCCCGGTGGGAAGCCCGACAATACTTTTTGGATTGAATTTGGATTTTTCTCTTTTCGCGTCGTGCCCGCGCGCGCATTTTGCGACGCGCGAAAGCAATCGACTTGCTTCATTGGACCAACACGGGGGATTTCAGTTCCATCTGTGTCCCCACGCTCAATTTCCAAAAATCCTTGGCACACCCCATCTTGCTGTTTTTCTGGGCCTCTTTCCGCACGCCTAACACTCCGAACGATAGACAGCACAGGGCGTGAGGTTGGTATCGGAGCCGACACGTGTCGGTTCTGATGATAGTAAGTCGAATTGGCGAGAGGTAGGCGAGACCCTCAACTAGCTCGTCGCGATCGCCCAGTGACCCGGTCTCAGTCTGGTGCGGTTGCACCCGTAGCACCAATGGTGGACGGTACTAGGGTGATCGTTAGTATCCCCGCCCCCTTCCCATTCTTCCCTAATTATACCCATCCCGAGGTTTGGCTGGAAGCTGTAGAAGCTCAAAACTACAGCGCCGCTGATCTTCCTCGCGTTCTGACATTGCTACTCCGCAATACGTCGCATGACTGGTTTAGAAAACACACGTGGGTAGATTGGGATACTTTCAAGCAAGCCTTCTTGGCTCGATTCGATACGGTCAGTGAAGATGCCGCATGGTACGTGCTAAAAAATTGGCCACAAGGACCAGGGGAATTGTTACCCGATTTCGTCGATCGATTTCAAACCATGCAGGACAAATCCGGGCGAGACGAGAAATCCGCTCGAGATTTGTTCATCGACCATCTACGAAGTCCTACATTGAAAGGCAAACTGCAGAAAAAGGTCCCGCCGAAAACACACCAGTTATCGGCTATCATCACTAAAGCATTGGAACTGGACCTGACTGATACAAAAATGTATATCAGCCAGGGAGACGAAGACATTACAGATACCATACGGGATGTAACGGCTAAAAGACGATCATGGCTGCAGGCGGTCGAACGGTTTTATCCCCGCCCCGACCATGACCTTCCCGGCGGGATCGTTTCCAATACCTCGCCTGCTTCTTCTTCCTCTCCCCTGGTAAATCAATCAATCGCAGTCGTTAAAAACGGAATCTCACCCGAACCCTCCTCGCCGGCCATAACCAACTTACACCTTGCCCAGATGATCCATACGGCCACTACCAAGCAGTCCGAATGGATGAGCAACTTGATCCTAATGCAAGCCGCTCACATGGAACGGATGTAACAGATAATGAGTAGGCTAATCAAGCCTAACCCGGCCTCTGCTCGGCCGGCCCCTGCATCATTTCCGCTCTTACCTGCCCCGCCTGCTCCAGGGTACGAACCTCAGTTCCCTCACCTAACCAATCCAGCCGGAAAGATCGAGTGTTTTAACTGCAAACAACCCGGACATTTCGCCTGAGACTGCCCGCAGCCAAAACGTAGTCAACCCCCACCTGCGGCGGCCCCCGTGGCCCTGAATCAAGGACGAGTGGCCGCTTTGATGGATACAACCCAGGGAAGAGAGCTCGTGGCATATGCCCCAGAGCAGTCTTCCCCCTCGACGACAATGGCGTCGATATCAGCAGCTTCTCCCTCTAACGCTGCGGACGTGGTCGATCCACTCGAATATCTTCATCTTGCAGGCATGGTCGAAGCAATCCGATCGGCCCCTGATGATCTCGAATGGGTCGATCGCGAATCCAATCCTGGTCCGCAGTTCCGAACAGGAGAGATTGACGTGCTACAAGCACTCAAACAACTAGATATTCATATTCCGATCCCGGTGGGACATCTGCTCATCATATCTGAAGCGGCGAATGATAAACTTTTACATCATTGCCAGAAAAATCAAAAACGTTTCACCTATCAGCGCATACAACGGATGTTAAAGAAGAAGGAAGGAAACGAGGAAGTGGCACAACCCGAACCCGAAGCCGGCGAACCTGAGGCCGCACGAATAGCAGCAATCTCTTTAGTAGAGAAAGATCACTTCGTACGAGCTCGGCCGGTGCTATGGAAAAGCGCGGAGTGTGATTGCGAGATTTGGGGCAAGCCCTTTAACACCCTTATCGACACAGGGTCTTCTGCAGTAGCCATATCATTAGACACTGTCAGAAAGACGGGAAGACTCGGATCCATTCTTCCTCAATCTGGCAAAGACAATTATGTCTCCGCCGATGAGGAAGCAATGAATATCGTAGGCATTATTGAAAATATGGCTATAAAGGTTAGACGAGTACACGTTCTAGTCAACGCGCTCGTGATAGATGTGCGCTCCTATTCTGTACTATTAGGATTGCTTTGGGTGATGGCAGTAGGCGCACGATTGCATTTCGATTTGAAACAACTGGTGCTCACTCAAACTGGGGGAAAGCCTCAAACTGTCTCTTTGCGAATTTCCACCCGGACGATAAAACGAACCCCTAACTCGGCCCAAATAGGGATGATTAGACACATCAATCCCGAGGAGTGTTCTTCCTCGGATATTGATAGTGGAATCAGGGAACAGGAATACGAAGAAGAGCTGCCTAGCGAAGATGAATGGAAGCACCTGGTTGAACTGTTCGAACACGAAATTCTCGAAGAATTCCAAGTGTGCCCCGACCCTGCTTGAAGCTTCGACGTGGATTCAAGAGACAGCGCGCTTGCGCCTCCAGTAACTCAAGTTAGTCCTTCGGTCCTGCTTGGGGAACCTATATTACAAGTATATGACCTGGCCGATGATTCGGAACCCCCTCGCACCTTGTACGAAGGAGCTCTCTCCTTACGAACACGTTATCAGCAAACGGAACAATATTTGGATGTTTTTGTTTTTCCGCCCAGAACGCTACTAACGACAAGAGCCACCATCACTTTGATTAAACAAGAGGCGGAAGCGGCGGTAAGTGATGTACCTGATCTAATGCAGGAAATGACGGGTCTAACGGGGCTAACTGTGGAACCAACCTCGGTTGGTTCAGAGACTGATGCTGAAACTAAAGAAACGATGATGATCAGCCCCGCTGAGTCCCAGATGATAGCAACCGTCTTCTCTGTTCGCACCAGTAGTTCCGTTTTCTCTAGTGTCTATGATCGACGGAAACGACCGGTTGATTGGGTCGATATGCCCCTTAAGATTTTCGGGGAATCAACAATTACCCTACCGAGTCACGTCCCCACGGAACTTCGAAAGTCGTTAATCTGTGTGTTAAATGGTTACGCAGAAGTATTGAGCATACACGATAATATCATCGGCTTAACTAATGTGATCGAGCATGCCATTCTCACGGGAGACCATCCACCCATTAGCTGCGTTCCTTACCGATACTCACAAGCTCAAAGAGCGGCCGCTTTTCAGCGGATTAAGGAATTCGAAGCTAATGGATGGATCGAACCCGCCATAGGTCACTGGTCTTTTCCTGTTGTAATCGTGCCTAAAAAGGCCGGAGGAATTCGCATTTGCATTGATTATCGAAAGTTGAATGATATCACGATCAAAGATGTGTACCCCCTCCTCCGGATTGATGAATTGTTGGATGCGATTGGGGAGTGCTCGATTTTTCAGCAAGTTTGATGTTCGCCATGGGTTCCATCATCTTCTTGTTCGAGAAGAAGATCGTCCAAAAACAGCGTTTGTACTTTTCGAGGGCACGTGGCAGTATTCGATGTCCGATGGGTATCTGCAACGCCCCCGCGACCTTTCAGCGGACCATGAACATGGCTTTTCATAATTTCGTGAGAAAGACTCGTTTGGCACAGAGCATCATCAACTACTGCGTGATTGTGTACATGGATGATATCTTGGTGTATTCGGGTTCCTACGAGGGACTCGTGCAGCACATCGAATGGGTACTGCACGCGTTACGAGATGCGGGCTTCAAGGTGGCGCTTGAGAAGTGTCAGTTTTTCCTCACCACCATTTCCTTCCTAGGGCACGTGGTGACAGACAAGGGACTCCAGCCGGAGCCTCAGAAGGTGGCAGCTGTCAGGGACGCACCAATGCCTACAACTATCATGCAAGTTCGCGCCTTTCTGGGCCTGGCCTCGTACTACCGAAGATTTACCAAGGGCTTCGCGGCGATTGCGGGACCCCTCACGAATCTGTTGCACAAAGATCAACCGTTCATCTGGACACCGGAGTGCGATCAAGCGTTTTCCAAACTCAAGGCCGCTCTCATTTCGGCTCCGGTCCTTATAAGACCCGATCCCGAAAAGCATTTTGTTCTCATCACTGACTGGCGGTCAGAGGCAATTTCAGCGATCCTTGCCCAGGTGGGACCAAGCGGACTCGAGAGTGTGGTGGAGTATGCCTCCAAATCGGTGCCAGCTTACAAGCGCAACTACGCCGCTCCAACAGGGGAATGCTACGCGGCTCTCTGTGGAATCAGCCACTTTCGCGCTTACCTGTACGGGCGAAAGTTCACCTTGGTAACTGATCATGAGCCCCTGTTGGCTCTGAAGAAATTGAAGGATTACTCTGGCATGATCGGGCAATGGGCAACGATGCTGTAGAGCATGGACTTTGGCATTCGTCATCGGAAGCACGAGAGACATGGGAATGCGGACGAACTTACACGACTCCACCGGCCTGAGAAAGTTCCGAAGGGTGAGGAGGTGATTTCGTGGAACGAACCCGAACAGGAGATCGGACCTCGGTATGGCCAAGTGGAGATCTTATCGAAGCAGTAAGTGACACGAAGACTAATTGGTCTGTTTTACCCTCTCTGCATCCCTTCCTTCTCTGTCATCATGACTACCCCACTTGCCTCCGCAACCCCTTCATCTCCTACTAATTCTGCCCCTCTCACGTCCTCAGCATTCTTTGCCACCCTCCCCGATAAATTCTGTTATTTTTGCACATGCATTGCACGGGTCTATGGGGTCGACTCCCATCCTTTCGAAACCGGGTTTGTCGACTGGGTAGAATGTGCCACGTGTGTCAATCGTGCGCACGGGGCCTGCGTTCGATATCGGACGAATAGCAAGGAATGGAGATGCCCCCTGTGTAGAACGAACAAACTCCCCACGGAGGTTCGATTCGAGGCCGCCTGTACGGACGACCCTAAATATGACGAAAAATACCGACGAGCGAAGGTTTGGACGGATAAAATTTTATTGGCAAAATTAGCGGGATTATCACCGGGCCACCTCACCAAACACGACAGACGTAGGGCGACCGAGAGATCTCGGGACTATCGATGGGTCAACGGTCATTTGGAAAAACGTAAAACTGACGGATCAGGCTCGTGGTTGACGGTTCCCCATCCATTCCAGAGATATGACTGGATCCGATCTGCTCACGAAGAACAGGCCGCTCATTTCACAATACGTATCACGAAGGCAACTGTAGATCAGAACCGATGGTTCTGGTCCAATATACGAGATGATGTCAAATACATTGTCGCTAACTGTCTGGTCTGTCCCGCTGATCGCGCCCCTATACGGGGACCAAACCTGATTGTACCAACGGAAGTAGAGCGTCCTTTCCAGCGAGTCAATATGGACACGACAAACCGCTGTGAATATTTTATCCTGCTAGTATTAATATATTATTTTTCCAAGTACATCGAAGTTTATCCCTGTAAGACCCGAAAAGCCGCAGAAATAGCCACGTACATCGAACGGTTCCTCTATACCCATCTAGATACAGAAGAAATTCTGACCGACAATGGGTCCGAATTCAAGGGTGAGGTAGAAGAACTACTTGCGCGAAGGGGCGTCACGCTTCGACATACGGCACCCCACGTGTCCCAGTCAAACGGGTTGGCCGAAAATGCCAACCGTATGATTAAAACCGCCCTTCGCAGGAACTTATCGGCATATGACACGCGTCCTTGGCCCGAGATCGTATATCAGATCGTCGGGATCCACCGGGCCACCCCTCACGAGTCCACGGGGTTTACCCCTTTTCAACTTCGAACTAATAGCCTCCCCTGTATCGACTACCAGGGTAACTCGGCAATTGCCAAAGCAGGGGGTAGAGACACACGTGCAACTCTCAAGGCCAAGGCCAAAAGGTACACCGAATTAATGGAACGGTCCGTCCCGAAGCTAGCCCGAAAAAGGCAAAGGATGACCGAACTGGCCCACGGTAGACAGGTCCGTAGCTACGAGGCTCGGAATGGAAATGATGGGCCCCAGCATCAATATAAATTAGGGGACCTAGTGCAGGTACGTAAATGTGCACACGACCGGAAACTCGCTCCCAAGTTTTCTGGCTTTTTTCGCGTTGTTGAGCTCGGACCCAACGGCGCCAACACAGTGCGCATCGCGCCTGAGGCTAGTGCCAGCCATAGCTTTGTCCCCATCGTCCGGCATACCTCCTACCTCCGTCTTCTTTCTGCTTCTGATCTTCCTCCCTCGTCTTCCTCGAAAAGCGAGGAGAACGACGACAATCTAACTCTCTCTCCTCTTTCTCCCTCTTGTCCTTCGTCCTCCTCTTCCACCTCGCCATGAGTTTTATCACGGAGCGGGTTCTTGACGCACAACTGTTGCAGCCACGTGGCCACATCTCAAAGATTCGACAAGTTTGTCACCCTCGGCTCAAGGCGGATCTTCGGCGTTTGATGCAATTTTTCTGCGACGAAGGTATCTGTGCCGCCGCCTCGTTTCGAATCGAAGGAAGTCCTCACGCAGTAGTATTCGCGGAGGTAACCGCAGTTCATCGGCGAGCGGGCCCCAGAACGAGCCACGTCACCACGGTTGCGGCGTTCAGAGGCGACATCAGCTCGGTCAATCCGCAGTGGCATACCGCGATCTTGACCTCGCTGTGCGAGTGGACGGAGCAAGTGTCCAACGTGTGGCAGCACATCCTCGCCCGACAGGGGTATTACCTCATCCCGATCTTTGCATCGGATCTTGGGGATATTCCCCGATCACCGCGCGAGCGGCCAGTTGCGATCCCAACCCTCGTCCCCTTCCCACATCCCCAATGAACCACGTCGATCTTCTCGCTCCTCTCTCTATCTTTGGTCTCCCCTCTCTCTCCCCCACCTTCCGGCAATCCGATCTTCATCCTTCTCTTTCCTTCTCGTTCGAGCCTCTTTCAGTCCCTCTTATCAATCCTGGACATTGGCGGCTGTTGCGCAAAACTTTTAAGGAGCTGTCTTTCTGCTGGGCTAGAGTACAGGTGACGTGGACACAGACGTGCAGGCATCCTGCGTGGATCGAAAATCCGGAGCTGCTAATCATCCAAGCTTGGAGGACTAACGTGGAGGGCGATCTTCTTGGCTTTCTCTTTGGATCGGTACAGTCAGGGCGCTGCCAGCTGATTGCGCAGGAGCTCATCGCACCGATCGTGCAATTGGCGGACGATCCATCGCCCGACATTTATTCACAGAGTGACGACAGTCCTGCTCCGTACATTTTCGAGCGATCATTGGATCCGTACCTTCAGTGGACTGCGTGCTTGGAAGAACCTAGGGACGAGGATACGCTACCATCGCGGCAGGAGTATCTGAAGCCGTACGATATCATCCCTCACGCCTTCTATCCGAGGGCAGAGGAAGTGGTGATCGATGACGACGACGACGAGGAGGAAGAAGAAACTGGATCTGAGTGGGAAGCCTTGCCGGAGGAAGCGACGCGTACGGGAACGGAGGCGGAAGATCCGCAAGCGGCGCAAAAGCGCGAAGAAATTGCCACCGGGAAGTGCCAGCTGGAGTTCGCCAGCGAAGTTAGCCTGCGCATCAGTAACAATCCGACCAGGGATCCAGAGCCGCCGAAGCCCGAAGATAGCAACCCTGCAGCCGCCACCTCAAGTACCGCGCGACGGAGACGAAGCCGATCCCCCTCCTCCTCCAGCCCCACCCGTTCCCCAGTTCGCCCACGTACCGATGCGGGGGATAGGCCTTCGTCCTCGGACGCTGTCCCGCCGAACCCTTGATTTCCTCACCCTCGAGCAGATCCGTACCCCCGTCACCTTCCCTTCCCATCCCTTCCTTCCCCATCTCTTCCACGACTTCTATTCTAACCGCCTACTCGCCACCGTCCACCCCCACGCCTCCCTTCAATTCGCTGCCCCCACGTTCTGCTGGCATCTCCTGCTGTTCAGCGCTGCATGGGAGCGATGCAACGTGGTAGAGGTTTATTGCGTTGCCACGGGGACAATCCCCGCCTGCCGCCACTATGAGTTCTTTCGAGCGGCGCTTTTCCGCACCCTCTCCTCCTTCTATCGCGACTACCTTGCTTCCGTCCCTCACAGCGGCGCTCACTTCCCCCACTTCCACCGGATCATCCGATATAAGGAGCTTCCGGTGACGATGGAAGGAATGAATCGCTTCCTACCCCCACTTCCTCCCCGTCGACCCCGAGAAATCCCCTCCATGTACCGCCTCTATTGGCCCATTCCAACTAGGAGGTACATCCCAATCACATCACCCCACCCCCCACCCCCCACCCCCTCTCTCCCTCTCCTCTCTTCATCCAATCAGCTGGGGAAAACGGCACGAATCACTAAGCTTCACAAAGATCACGCCATCGACGATGACGTCAACTCACGCTCTGATTCGACGGGCAGCAACCAGCTGGGTTGCAGAGCACACAGAGAACCAGCGGACGATGTTGGCGTCACCTGAAGGACCATCGAGGATTCCTGCATCAGACAATTGCAATTGAAGTTGGCGTCAACATGGACTTTGGCTGGATCGTTTGTTGATACGCTTGGTTCCTCATGCATCACTCTGTTCCGCCATGACATGCAATCAGGAGATCGCATAATTTTGGAACCCCCTGCGCGTCACATATGTGACGAACCACTTCCCAACCCCGTGCTATCTTTCGTACCCCTTTTTGCTTGTATCATACCAACCCCATAAAAACCCCGTTTCGTTTTCTTGATTTTGGGTGCCGCATTTTTGGCCCCCATTTTTCGGAAGCTTTTTCGACTCCCGGGTTCTGCTTTTACTTTCTGCAATTCGGAAAATACATAGGAAATTACATGCGTCTTAGCGAACGAACTGGGAATTGGACTCGACAGTTGGGAATTCCGGGATAAGCGGAACATCGACGTGTCCTTTTCGTGTGTGTGAATGTTCTTGGTCGCGGCGAGGAAAACTCTCGGAATTTTGTGCGAATACGAATAGGCATAGGATTTTCTTTTCCCGCGTCGCTCTTTCGCGCGCGGATATGGTGATTTCAATTTT